CGATTTACAAAGGCCTACAAAAAAATTATAGGTATTTTCCGCTATCCTATAAAATTTATATTTTCTGACTCAATTTCAAAAAGTTGAAGGAATTCCAAAACACCATTTATGGCATAATAATTATTTTCAATTCTACATACTATCTTTAGCTGCTTTTAAAAACGTTCTAAGAAAGTCCAATCAGACCAATTTAATCCCTAAACTATTCCACACTTTTAAAATTTAATTACCTAAAAATATTAAAAACTATTTAAAATAACTTGTTTAGCAGACTGTACAATAGCTATCTTAGTCACACGTAGCGCGTTCTCTGTCTGGGCGTCGAACACCTCTAGAAATTTGATGAACTGTAATTAACGAAATAGAAGGAGGAATTGAAAATCCAACTTATAGAAAATAAAATTTATAATAACATATTTTGTATTCTAGAAATAATGCTTTTACTCCTTAAATCATGGTTCTGGTAACTATATTACTTCTATAGAGGGTACAGTAAGCAAAATTTGTCAATAATTCTTCTTGTTTGCTCGAAAAATTGGCGGTCCGTCAATTTTTTTCCTATTTGTACAATTTTTCATTTTCACTTTTAATGAATATGTTTTTTAAAACGTCAAACTGACATAGAGCATTCAGTTTTGTCAGAAGTACCTCAATTCAGAACGACCAATATAAATTAAATTTCGATCATCTGAACTGTGATACTGACATGATTGAAAAACGCAATTGATGTTAATCTTAGGTCTATATTTAATCCAAGTTCAGGTGAACGAAAGTTTAAACTGTTATTGAAAAACTGGCTCTAAGAATGAGATCCTTAAGTGTTATTGCTCCTTTCATGAGAAATAATTTGTCGGTATAGTCCCATTATACCTCTTACTTCAAATTTTCGGAAAACAGTTGTCGAGGAAATGCCTTAGCAAATTTATTTAGTTATATTTGTGATTTCAAGATTTGAATGTATCTAGTAAAATTTTGAGCCCAAAAGAAAGTTTTTAGTAACTTTGAGTAGGATAGTGAGGTGAGGTGGAAGTTGGATACTTTATTTGTGTATTATAGGTATAATATATCTGTTAGGACAATGGAACGAAAGAAAGACATTTATTTTTCTCAAAAAATGAAAATTCAACTGACAAACGTTTTCAGAAGAAATGCCTCATGTGAAATGTTCTGCAACGTCAATTAATGCATGGAAAAATTGACTTTCTCTTTAAAAGAAGTAACAAGAGACAGTTTTTATTGGAACCAACATCGATTCAATTAACAAATGTCGTTTTTTAAAATTTAAACAAGGTGATAAAGCCTGTATTTATAGATGAGACGTGGATTGGGTATATAGCAAGGGAAGTGACAGAAAAAGTTGGCAAAATGGAACGATGGCTACTGCAAGTAAAAAAAAACAGGAGATGGAATATGATACATAATTGTCCATGATGGCAATAAAGAAGGGTTTACATTTCAATGGAACTTTTTTTAAATACCCTGGAGAATATTTATACAAATATCAAAGTGGACAGTAGTATTAAAGGAAAAGTATAGGGTCTAAACATATTTTAAATTTTGTGTTTAAATGCTGTTCGTTTTTTTTAATTCAATTTTAGGTAACACTAAAGGTAAGAAACATGTCATAGCAGTTTACATATTATATCTCATTCACATTTTTTTTTAAATCAAACTTTACTATGAAAGTTTGCCACATATTAGTATGTATAATATTCAAGGGTAATATACCAAGACTTTGATAATAGTCAGCTATTTTTGATGAATCTAAATCTCGAGAATATTTTTAATATCAATTTGATGAGACATAATTTTTGGCATTAATCAATTGATTATTTATGCCAAAATTATGTAGAATCAAATCGTAAAATGTTCGAGAAATTTAGGAACAACAAAAATATCATAATTTAATCAAGGTCGTGTTATATTTGTCACGACTTTCACTAGACCCAATATTGACTATTTCTCTAGAAAAATAGTCGCCGATATTTTTGGTCTTTAATATTATTATTTTTAAGGTAAGCCTAAAAAATGTTTAACTGGTAAAATAAAAATATATCCTTATTTTTTCAGTTTAATTGTTATATATTTTTTTTGCCTTGATTACGGTTTTATTAGGAAAATTTGCGAAATTATGGAGCTTCATTCTCACGAAATTAAAAAAAAAAAAAAAAAAAAACAATTAGATTCATACTTAAAGGTAAGAAGAAAACCTACAATCTTGGCCTACGAATAACTAATGAAAAAAAATTTAAATTATTGAAAAAATAAAAAATATATGATCCTCAATGGTTTCAGGCTGTACAGGTTAGATAACTTCGTTTAATTTTTTTTTTTATTTATGTATTATTTTGCGATGCAACCTGCAATGTCTCCAAACTGCACAGGTTAGGAATTTGTTTTTTTTTTATAATAATAATTATCACATATTTTACAACTACCTGATTTCCATTTTGTGGTACAACTCAATTTTCTTAAAGTTGACCGAATTTCAATAGACATTTTTTTTATAAACATCACTTATTCAATAATTATTTTTTACGCTGTTTTAGGAAGAATATCAAAAAATACCTTTTAGAAATCTCGAGAATATATTGGACTCCAATTCAAAGGTAAAAGTATCAGATATATCATTCAACATGTTTTATACATTGGGTAACTAATAAATTTGTTATTGAGGAATATTATTTTCAAGCAGACGATAACGATCAGATAAAGATCTTTTAAAAAAAAAAGTACACCGAAATAAATCTAGAAAACTGTCATATTACTGATATTCAGTTCTTCATGCAACAACTAACTTAAATAATAATGCACCATAATTTGGTTGTTCAGTAAATGGTTTAATACCAAGAAGATTGTAAAAATATGAATGGAGGAGAATTAAAAAAGTTTTATCTATTCTGTATGGTACCTGAATTGGTAGATCCAAGGCATGACCGGGGAATGTCATTAAAAGAACCTGATTTTTGAAGCTAATCAAAAAATAAAAAACAAAAATAATTATCTCCAAAAAGTTAAATACTATTAAAGGTAGTAATAGTAGTTATTATGCCCATTGCTTTAAAACATATCTACAAAAACGGACGAGAAATAATTGATAAAAATACCATTAAAGGTAGTTCAATAATATTAGTTTTTGTGCCCATTGCTTTAAAATGTATCTACAAAAGCGGACAAGAATAATTGATAAAAACTTTTAGTGTTTTTATTCTAAAAGTATTTTCTATAATATTTTTCATTTTAATCTAGGTGTTCGAACTAAATAACTTTTGAACAAAATGTTTTCAAACAAAATAACTTTCAAACAAAATGTTTTCGAACTAAATAACTTTCGAATAAAATGTTTTTGAACAAAATTACTTTGAACAAAAAGATTCGAACTAAAATTTTCGAAAAAATCTCGCGACCCTTTAAAAACACATAATAAGAAATGAAAAAGGCGATAAAAAAATATATTTATTCATAAATGTAGGAACATACAAAAAATTAAAAATTATTGGTAAGTAAGATTATCATAAAATGAGTGATAGTCACAATCTAAACTTTGCTTAAGTGTTTGGAGTTGGTCCCATTTATCTTTTTTTATAGGTAGAGGTTTTTATAAAGTTGCGGTGAGGAGTGATAGGGATTTATTGCAACTTGGGTCTGCTTTCTTTTTTCAAATAAGGTATAATCGTTTTGAAATACATGTTTCTATCAGGACAATATTTTAGACATCTTAAGTCGGTAACAATCGGTTCTCCAACTTTGCGCCCGGGTCTTATGGATGTTATAAACATAAGAGAACTAAAATATTTAAAAAAGTCATAATTTAGGTACTTGACAATAAAAGGTCTGGGATTTTCTCTGGCACGTGTAATTTTAACCTAATCAGCTGGAAGATTTTTCGCACTTTTCTTTCAATAAGGGAATGCATCGAGTCGGCCTCCATTTGGGTATACCCTTTCTCCAAATACTTTTGCTCGATATTAATATTATATGATTGAAAAATTAATCAACGCATTGGAAACTGTTTCTATTTTGGGACGTACAGCCATCACCGCACAGGATAATTGCTTGATCATTTTTCAGTTCGCTCGTCACATACTCTTTAAGAAAGTAGTAAATTATAGATCGGGTCGGTGGTGTAGCAGTCTTACGCGCTTATATTCATTTATAGGCAAGTTTATGGTCCGAGACTGCCGGGCTTCGAATCCCAGACCAGACCATGTGGATTTTTAATTAAATTGCATGGTTCGGTATACGATTTGATGTGTGCCGTATTAATAGAAATTCAATTTCTGTTGATATGACATGCAGATTATAAAATCGCCATGCATTACCGTCTCGATGATGGTGGGTGAGGTTTTCCGGGTTTTCCTCACCTGTAAGTCAAATGGCACCATCAATCATCTTTAAGTCGCCCCGGAGCGCCACGGCAAATAATAATAATAGCCGTACCTTTCCCCGCACAAGCTCAGCTTTTGGGGTTAAAATTCACTCGTAAGGGGGTGAATTAGGGAGAGTTTTATTATATTATTATTATAGATGCATAATTGTTGACACAAACACCCCCACCTTCGTGCCACAGAACGCAGTAACATTCTGTAGTCTTCATGTCTTACACGATAAAGTTTCATTTTAAAATATAAAGCCGATGTTTTAGATTTGGGACTTAAAAGTACAGCTTGCACATCCATGCAAAAAACTCTATTGTTAGAGCTTTTATCTTTCTCCTTAGCTTCTCGTGACTCAATTTTTTTAAACTGGTGTAAAACATAATCTTCTTCTGATATATGTTTTGTGCGGTATCACACACAAACGACTCGTCTTTTTTGGGTTTAAACAAGCTCAAATTCATATCATTAAAAATATGAGAAAACGTATCAGACACCGGAGTGTAACTTTTTTCATGACACCTTAGGTCTTATAAAAGGTCGGATTTCGATACCAAAACAGGGTCCAAATAAATTTAGATGACATAGCACGGGCTATAGTGGGGATTTTAGGAAAGTCTCTAATTATAATTCTATCAAAATTTCTTTCCTATCCTTGACTCCTTCAGTATGGTTATTCACGATTAAGCCTAGTTGTTCTCTATAATCCACTTTATGTTTAGAATCGTTTTTCCAGTAAATAACAGATCTTTCGTTTATTCCTAATGTGTTCTCAAACATGATTTTACAAACCCTAAATCTTTTTTCATTTAGTGTTTGTAAAAAGTAAAGCCAAATAAAGTCTCTTCTTGATTTGTCCTCGTCTTTTCTGTTTCTTTGTCTTTTAGTTTCTTCTTTTTGTACTAACATGTCTATATAAACTGTTCTTTGTTCCCATGACATGTTTGACCAAAAAATTTGAAATATTTCTGTTCTTTCATTTTCATTGAGTTGTCTATATTGCAATTTTTTGTTTTTTAATGATTTTTTGCAGGAACATGTCTCTTTTATTGTTCTTTTCTTTTATAACTTTAAAATTCCAAACTCCATTGCACTTCCGTTTACCATAACAGTTATCTCCCATTTCTCGTTTCCGTTTGTTTCTGTTTTTTTCCTCACGTTTTATTTTACATTATGTCTTTTATTTCTTCTCTCTCTAGCATTTTCGGGTTGTTATTGAATATCTGCTTCAGTCAAACTTTCTTCAGGGTCACTACTAGAATTTTCTTTATCTGTATTACTTAAGTTTTGACGAAACGGGTTCATTTTTTCTCTTTGTACATAAAAAAATATGGTATTATCTTTAAAATTGTATCTTCTAGGATTAAACTAGAATGCCAATTATTAATAAAAATTACTTGCCATTGCCAGCGGAGCAATTATTCTAAAATAATAACAATGTTACTTCTGATTCAAATACTGTCAGTATTTTAAAACCTGTTCAGTTGCATAAGGTTTTTTTTAGAGTAATTAGTCGCAAGCTTTCACCGGCTAAGATTGATTTTCAGTGGTCATTGTTTGTTTCGTGTTATACAATTGATTTATTGGTTGAAATCTCGTGACTTACGCATTAGAGGCTGTACCCAAAAATTAAACAACAGTCTCGCATTATCTCGTCCTACTACGGACATGAACCAAAGAACAAACAAGGGGTGTGGTTCGGAACCCACCGTATTATATCACCGAATTTCTTTTGTTTCTTCATACCAACACAACGAACGAAATGAATGAAATTTGTATGCATGAAAAAAATGTTGTAAAGAGGGCTCAGCGTGTCTATTTCGAAAATGGTATGTATATCGATTTTAGTTGGTAATAAGGTTTTGTATTCGAACGTACGAAGGAGGTTAATTCGTTTTATGAATAAGGGCACATTTGAATATAATGTGAAATTACCAGTTATTTTTTCGATATGTTGCAAAAGAATTTACGTTTGGTATGAAAGTGGGCATTTTTGAATACCTCTTCGTGTATGATTGTTTTAGTATCTTTGATAAATTACAGCTGGTTTTATCAAATTGAAATTTGTGATACCGTTTGATGGTTTTTCAGACTTTAACTTGCTAAAGTTCTAAAAAAATATTACTTAGTTTTAACCTATATTTAAATTGATAGTTCTATTTTAAAACAAGCAGTTACGTTTCAATAAATTCATTAATGAATTAATTAATTGTGTAAAAAAATGTTTGTTTTATGGAATTTTATACTCTGCTAAAACAATAGTGTTTATGAAACACCCAGTGTATTAATTAAATATATTTTTTAATCCCTTAAAATTTTCTATTTTAATAAAATAGATTTGACAGTTGATTTCATTTTGATAAAAAAAAATGATTTGGACGTATATCCATTTTTCGAAGGCGTAAGGATGAATGAATGTATTTTAAATAATTTTAAAATTCGGAAATAAATCTCAAAAATCTCTTTACGACCTATTTAGACCATTCACGAACCCTAAATGTGAAAACAAATACTTGTAGATTTAAAAAAAAACCTGTCAACGCTGGGAGCCGCACTCAGACCTAAACGTTTTCCGGACGTATGCTCTTACCGTCAGGCTATCAATGACATTGACTGTCGAGATTCCTAAACGGAAATTTGAAGTGCTAGTTCTAGCCAGATGATGTTCAGGTTTCTTCTCAAATCTACAAATACCTCCAATGCAGATCGGTGTAATGAGAAATGTATTTTAATGCATACTAAGCCCATATCTTCGGCTGCGTGATATGAGTTGACGATAAGGACACACGTTCGGAAAACGTGGAGGTCTGGGTTCGACTCTCGGCGATAGGTTTTTTTTTTCAATTCTACAAAGTACTTGTTTTCACATTTGAAGGGACCGGGGATGGTCTCAATAATTCGTTTGGGGATTGTTGAGATTTGTTTCCGATTTTTAAATTATGTAAAAACTTAGTTCAGATAATTCTGACCTTTCGGATTTTGATTTGCGATTTACGATATATTAAATTAACAATTTTCGAATGTATTTTAAATTACCCATATAAGATGTTTTGTCATTTGTTAGAACGTTGCCTATACAGGGTGTTCCATCTCAGACGAGCCACCCCGTATATTTCTTATCCCACAGTAATTGGAAAAATTTCCCGAAACACGTCGGATGATTTTCTTTGGGGACATCTTTTGACGTATATTTGAGGCTTTAACGAGCAACCCCTATGAGGGGGCGCTTCAAATCCTCAAAATTGAATTGGCCGAGCGTATCAACAATAACCCAAATTTCTTGTACAACGTTTGCTTTTCTAACGAATGCACTTTTTCACTTAATGGAAAGGTTAACCGGCATAACTGTAGAATTTGGAGCGATACAAATCCTCATGTATTTCGAGAAGCTCACACTCAATATTCGGAAAAGCTAAACGTTTGTGTAGGAATTTTGGGAGACCATCTAGTTGGACCTCTGTTTATTCCTGGTAATTTAAATGGCGGAACTTATCTTGAAATGCTGGAAAATTCGATTGATCCGTTAATAACAAAAAAAAGTTGAAAATGATCCTCTACTAATTGAACAACAATTGCATTTCCAACAAGACGGAGCTCCTCCTCACTACACCGCATCAGTTCGCCAATACCTCAATTTACAATACCCTGGTCGTTGGATTGGAAGAAGAGGTCCTATGGAGTGGCCTGCTCGCTCTCCTGACCTGAACCCTCTGGACTTCTTCTTGTGGGGACATCTTAAGTCCAAGATTTTTGTGACTCGGCCTGAAAATTTGGACGAACTACGCCAACGAATTGTAAATGAGTGTCGTCAAATAACTCCAATTATGCTGGACCATGTTGGAGACTGTTTTCGATCAAGATTGTATTATTGTATGGAAGTCAATGGAGGACAATTTGAACATTTGATATAAAAACGCAGTTTCGATTTTTTTGATTGTAAGCATGATAAAACTATTTTTTTTAAGAATGGGATTTTTTTCATACACCGTTGTAAAGAGGAATCCAAGACCTTACAACTGAAGTATCACTCAACCCGTCTTCCCTATTCAATTTTGAGGGGTTGAAGCACCCCCTCATAGGGGGTTACTCGTTCAAGCCTCAAATATACGTCAAAAGATGTCCCCCAAAGAAAATCATCCGACGTGTTTCGGGAAATTTTTCCAAATACTATGGGATAAGAAATATATGGGGTGGCTCTTCTGAGATGGAACACCCTGTATAAGGAAATGCATTTGGTTGATGAAAAAACTACAAATATGAAGTAATTATTTATTGTGTCTGTTGTAAATATTTTCTAGTTATCTATGTAAGTACCCATGGAAGATGGGACTATTAACAGATTTTTCTGAAAAATCGTTAATCGGTTCATCGTTATTTCGGAACTAACCGATTATTTTAGAATATTCGATAATTTCACATTTTTTAACGAGAATTAGTATATTCAATTTTAATTAATTGAATAATCGAAATTAATTTTTGTTCAATTTAATAAAAAATGTTCTGTTGGACTTGTGGGCAACAACCTGTGAAAATTTGGGTTTATAAAATATTTGTTGCCTTTTTGTAGTCTCTAAACTGCATACTGGTTCATTTTTATTAAATGGTCATTTTTAGGACTTTTTTAAAAAGTAAAAGACTAAAAAAAATCATTTGTACATTAAAGTTTTTGCTCAAAACAAATTTTTCTGATGGTACATATAATTTATACTTCGGAGTTTGATATCTCCGTTGTTTTGAGGGATATGAACAAAAGTTTTAAAAACAAATTATAGATAGAGTCCAGATCCACATTTTAAAATTATTTCGTAATAAATAAATAAATAAATAAAAAAAGTCACAGCATACCAAAGTTATGTTTTTTAGTGGAACAGCCTGTATGTTATCTCGAATTTGAATTTTGCTCATTTTCTTCATTATGAAACACCCTGTATATTACGAAATAAATTTATAATATGGAGCTGGACTCTATCTATAATTTGTATTTAAAACTTTTGTTCGTATCCCTCAAAACAACGGAGATATCAAACACCGGAGTATAAGTTGATCACCCTGTATAAGGAAAACTAATTTTTTGAATAAATATGCTCTATAATTTTATATTATAAAACGATCGTATAATTACATTATTAATAAGTACTTAATTGGATTAAATATTTACTAATAATAATCGATAAATCAATAACAATCCAATATGAGATTAAAAATCAACTAAATAATATCAATATATCGATTAATCTAATAAACTATTATCCGATTATTCGGAAATAATCAATCTAACGATTAATCGGAAATAATCAATCTAACGATTAATCGGAAATAATCGATTTCCTGATTATTCGAAAATAACTAGTTAATGGAAAATCATCGATTAATCAAAAATAATCTGTTAATCGAATAATCGAAAGTAATCGACTAATTGAACAATCGATTATTTTCAATTAATCGATTAATCGAAAATACTGAATATTATAAATTGATTATTTATTTTGATAATTGCGGATATAGGAAAATAAAAATTGTTTTATTTCTTGTCTTATTACCTACCTCAAAAATTTTTATCATCACTTTATTCAGTGAACAATAAAAGATATCTAAATAAATTAAAAAAATAGAATTAAACCATTATTCAATAAGCAATTCAATGCTGTCAAGCAAACACTCCTGACCACCAGCCTGAATATTTATTATCCTTATAAAATACGACGTTGTTTTCCATATATAATAAACTTTTAATGCAATACCCACCCTGTAGTTTGACTCGATCGTAATCTATTGTCGAATGACAGTAATAAGTTTCATATATTGATTTATATCGACGTGATATATTTGATTTCAATGGTTTTTACTGACAATCAATAATTATTTGTTATTCATGTTTGAGCTGAAAGCCATTTCAAGTTTGTATAAATAATATCAATTAAACATTTATAGTTTTTCTCGTC